AATGCTTCAAAGTATGAGGCATCCACAGCTGCTCTGGGAAACCTGTTCCAGTGCCTTACCACCTTCACAGTAAAGAATTTCTTCCTAATACCTAATCTAAACCTACTCTCTCTCAGTTTGAAGCCATTCCCCCTAGTCCTATCACTACATCTCCTTGTAAAAGTATCTCTCCATCTGTCTTGGGGGACCTCTTCAAGAACCGAAAGGTTGCAATAAAGTCACCCTGGAGGCTTCACTTCTCCAGGTTGAACAATGCTAATTTTCTCATCCTTTCTTCATAGGAGAGGTGTTCCATCCCTCCAATCATCTTCATGGCTCTACTCTGGATTCACTCCAACAGGGTTATGTCCTTTCCATCAGTAAAACAAAGAGACACACACAAGCCAAGGCCACCAGACTGAAGATAAGGCTGTTAGGAAAAACAGCTGGAGAGGTGGTCAGCAGGCCTCTGTACCACTCTCTGGTGCACTCAACTTTTCAGCAATAAGAAAAGAGAGATAACTTGTGAAATAAGTAGAGATATATCACTTGGACAGGCTCCTTCCTCTCCATAACTTGTCTTTTTCTGCTATTTGTCCCAGCTTTTGTGCATTCTCCTGAATACAAGGACAGAGGGTAAGTCTTTCTAGAAATGTCTTTTTTTCCCATTTCCCAAAAGCAGCATTAAAAAATAACAAGAGGACAAAACTGGAAGAGCTCATATAGACTGCAGTGGCACAGAAGTAATGAAATAATCATTTCTCCAACTCCACAGATGCAGAGCATATTCTTCTTCCCCTCTTCCTGACCTCTCCTCTAAAGTTCTCATATGAAGACAATACTTTGTGACCTCCAGAACCACTTAAACCTCTCAGTAAGTAGTTTCTATCTCTGCATTTTGCTTTCTTCACCACAAACAAAAGATGATTCACATTTTTAAAACAAATTTGAGACAGCGTCTGTAAAACAAAGAAGGACTCTTGCTGAAATGGTATGCTAACTTGGATAGATACCTCAGGGAGTCCTGCCATGTAATCTGGCTCAAAATCAGCAATGCTCAAGCTTAAATTAATTCAGACTACATATCTGTTTATGTGTGCATTGGTTAGAATAGGGGCAACCTCTACTTATATAGCCTGTGCTAATACTGAAGGGAATATAACTTACGGAAACAAATGTTATCCATGCATCAACCTGTCCAGTCCCAACACAAAAAGGTGCAAGGAAGGAGCTGATAAAAAGCCTATTACTATGACACATTAGTTTTAAACACTAAAGGTTAGCCTTTAATTAAAAATTCCTAATACTGATAAAGATCAGATAGACAGCCATCAGAAAATGGGAAAGACTATTTCCCATGGAAAATGCACCTGTTGAATTATGAGCTGATATGGATCCAAACTGCAGCACAGTCTCAAGAACACAAATGACATATTTGATGAAAGAGTTCAGTAATTTGGCAACTAAAATTGTAGCCCGCAAAGATGAATTCATCTGCATAACTAATAAATCTAGGAAGTGCATCTGACAGTTCAGAAACAGATCACAGCTGAGACACAGCCCTATTCTACAACAGCTCTCTTTAGACAGGTAGTTATTTTGTCCGATAGAAGCTTAACTTGTGCGACTCAGATGTGCTCCTTCACATAGTAAACAGAGATGAAATCCCTTCTTCATTGAAGAAATCAACAGCAACCCTGCCACTGATTTCCCTGGTCATTTCTCAAGTCATAGTGATACCACCGGTTATGGATGAAGCAACTGACTGAGATGACGAAAATATCAGTTTTATGGCACAGTACAACCCTGTTAGTGATACCTTTCACAGGTGTATGAATCTACATGTATGAAGAACTATTTGGTACCACGAGGCACCACTTACTGTACAAATTTCCCCATACACAGGAATTATATTGGTAACTACTACAGTGTGTATACATAGATAGATATATAAAATGGAAACAGAGTTCTTGACACCATACGCAATTTTATGTTTGTGGCTTTTTATTTCGTGCACAATGATTAGCCTCTCCTTTGATTCTATGAAACTTTATAAAAAATATTAAGATTAAATCGGCAATAGGACCACATAGTTCCAAGGCTCATTTCGTTTGTGTTTTCCATCTCTAGAGGGGATTTTTTTCTATAATTAGGATTTTTTTTTTTTATGTTGAAAAAGTATTGCTATGAAGGAGTGATATCTCTGAGTATTAACAAGACAGTACTAAGTATTCAAGAAAACAGAATTTCAAGTATAGATGGTGTTGTAACTGTAGAGAAGGGATGGGAAAGGAGGAGAAGAAAAAGGACGATGAGAACTAATTATTATAACCTAAAAAAGCAGCAGACACTGCTTGCCCAAACCACTTCTGCCTGGGCTAATGCAGCCTTTCAAACAGTTTCTGCATACAGCCTTCTTTATAGCCACCTTAAAATGCTTCTGAAGTATGAATACTCTCAAATATTCTAAAGTATGAACACTCTCAAATATTCTACTACTAATGGAAATATGATTGCTATTATTACAGCCAGATTTCATGACTTTTCACTCCTTTTCTATATATGGATTTTGAAGGCTGATGTTGACAGTTGAGCAAGTTGTTACAGCTGGTCATAATACCTTTGCCAGAAACTTTCAAAAATATGACTTTTCAAGTAAACTAGGAATCTTTTTACTGTGAAAAATGTATAGTTTTACATTTTCCACTTTTCATGGCTTTTTTTTGTGCTAAATACACTTTTTGGGGAAACTGTTGTGAAAAAACCTGGAAAGAGTATTCACAGGTTAAGTAACACTTGCGGTCAGATTCCTAAGAGCTGCACCAGGTACTGCAGGGGAAGCTCACACAAAACTGGGATGTATCAGCAGTGCTACAGAGGCAAAACAACCCACCTCTCACTGACAGGTTTCACTCTGCCAAGGCTAATGAGTCTCTTGTGTGAATTTTGTTGTACAAGGTTGGGCTCCAGCACGGCCACCCTTGCATTCAGAAAAATTATCATTGAATGTGCACAGCTGATGTCAAAATGTGAAGAAACACATGAGGATAAATGTTTATTTCAGTATAAAAAACCAGCCAGGGATCCTGACTTTTCTAAACTGTATTCCCAGAGGTCCTACCCATTTCCCACAGGTGAAAATTTTATTCTCTAAAATTTGCCAATGTCAAAATTGTAACTACTAGTAAGTGAAGTGCTGGCATTCTCAAGGTAGTTTAATAACCTTTCATATTATTATGGGCAATGCATCAGAATTAATTAGCATGAAAGCTGATGAGGATAAAATGATAGGTAAAATATCAGAAAAAATGTGACTAAAATATGGTGAAAAGCCCACAGCCATAAGCTTTCCCTGTGATTGAGCTAAAGGAACACTTGGATAAATGGAGATTGATGCAGAAAACAATTCCATTACAAAAGTCTTTCAAAAATGCTTTCTAAAATACTTCAAGTTGAAAAAAAGTCTAAGATGCTTGCATACAATACATTTCAGCAAACTCTATGATGTCCAAAAATTACAAATAAAAAAGCCTTCTTCATATATTCCACTAAGCAGACATTTCTACAAAGCAATGTGAGCTTGAGTCGCCTCTCAGTTATGGCTGAGAGAGAAGACTTCCTGAAACAGCTGTTTGTTGCCAACTGCTTCACACTATACAACAACATAAAACTGCTTCACAATTCATGAAAAATGTTACAGGTTAGGTACTTCCAGTATGTGGAATGTCACCTGGAAGAAATGTCATCAGACCTGCCACTGATCTGTTGTGGGGAAAAAAATCAAGGTATGCATGGTTTGGCAGTGTTTGCAAGTGTTCAGCTTGTAACCTCAAAACTCGAGGGAGGACAGCCTGAACAAACACAGTGGGAGTCATCAGACTCTTTTCTCTGCTCTACACACATATAATATCATGCTGTTCCTTTTAAAACATCATAAAACAGTACAATATCTAGTAAAAGCTGATCCTCCTCCTGTAAGCAGCAACACTTGTACTGTGCCTTTTACAAAAAAATTAGGGAACAGTAGTGCCATCTGCCCCACTCTGCAAAGGACCAATTTATCATGCCCAGCACTAGCGGACAAATCTTGATCTGCTGTGGTGATACAAGAGACACGCCCTTAAGGATGAGCTCTGCTGTCATCTACTAATGAACAGCAGTGCCAAACGGTTTGCCATGCCTTGATATGGAGAACAAAGTAACAATGAAACATTTTGCACAGATGCAACTAGAGAAGGAAACACGACACTGCATAACGCTGCCTAAACAGCAGAAAGTACCTGATAGCAAAGTGTGGCCTTATCTTTCCCTTAGCATTTAAACATATAGTTGAGAGAAAGAATGTCTGACTTGACATACCAGAGAGGGATTAAAAGGTCAGATTTCTTGTGAAGAAACTACCTTTATGATTACCAATGCAGCAATTTTGAAACTCTGCACTGTTGCATAGAATTTCACATTATTAAAAATATTCAGATACAGGTTCTGCTACATAAGTTTAGTGTGCTTGAGAAATCAGTAATTATTTCAATTTTTTTTCTAAAAACATACAAGTCCAAAAGCAGATTTTTGAACAAACATTATAATAAAAACATTTCCATCATAAATTATATTTTGGTAGAATGCCAAAAAAAATCTTTCAATTAAGTGTTTCTGTCATTTTAGAGCAAGATTTGTCTAAGTCAGAACTTCTGTTTTGTGGAAGTCTCTTTTGATTAAATTTCCTCATGAACAGGGTGGCATTTCTCTGAGAAAACTACCTTATCACAGAAAACAGCTGACCCCCACAACTAGCCTGTGATGTAAGACACGTAAGTTCAAATCTCCACTGTTCCAAGCTAATAAAGATTCAAATATGACTCAAGGAGTCAAGGAAGGAAAGATGTTACTCTTGCTTGCAAACCACATTCTTTAATCATTTCTGAGGGCATTAGCTCTAAGTGTATGCAGAGTCATGCACGGGGAAATCAGAGTCTTGACTTTTCTTTATGCAAGAAAGTGTTTGCATTACTTTTACTCACCATTCCATGATTTAACCATGCTGGTATAAAATTATCAAGTAGCTTTGGGTAAACCAGTTCCCTGTCATAGATATAGATGCTCCAAAACATCGTCACGACAAACTAAGAAGAAAAAAAAGACAAGACATTTTTAAATATATGCTTCTGAACAATTAGCTACACATTTATAGGTAGCAAAATGGGGCATTCAGCAAATGATTATGGATAGACATGGACATCATTGTTCTTTGACCAAATACTGCTCTAATCAACAGTGTGAATCTGTTTTACTCTTTGAATTCACAGAGGTTTTAACTTTTTTTCTTTTTTTTTTCCTCCCCTTGACTTTCAGCCTGGAAAAAAATCTCATGTTTTTACTTACATGCCTGCGGCCAAACTACAACTGAATACTACAGTTTAGTAGCAGATGTGGCACATAAATAATATTTCACCAATAACAGGATAGAAAACAAATGGAAAATCAGGTAAAATATCACTTGGAATTCATAGAACATATAAATATGAAACATTCACCCCTCAACAGAACCATACAAATTCATATTTGCACTTTTTTGTGCTAGTCATCGAAACAGCATTGAAAAAAAATAACCCTTTGACTACTCTCCACACAATTCATGGACTGGGATCCACAGAAAATAGTTCTAATATCCTGCTCATTTGTCAGTATGAAATGTGGCTTGGTTCTTGTCAGAGACTATTTACCAGGATCCCAGAGAAAAACCATTATTTCCTCTAGACTGAGGACAGGACAGATGTCTCAGGTAAAGTTTACACTAGGCTAAATTTTCTCCAAAGTGTGCACAAATTCTTTAAACATATCCTATGTCTGAAAGTCAAAGACAATATAAACCCACAAAAAATTTACAGAAATAATGGTTTTAGCTTACCTTAGCTGGGACAGGTAAGTAATTTTCTAATTAAAACACCATTGCTTTCTTACCTTGAATTTGAGCCATAGTTTTCTAGTAATAAAAAAAGACATTGTTTATAGCAGTAAAACCCAATAACTGGACAAAGAGCTTTTCAATGGCCGTGTACAGGGGATCTCAACACAGTAATGATAAATCCAAGTTTAAAGTTTGAGAGCCAACAGATAGGACTTTAATTGGGATCAGAAGGGAAGTATTCAGTTACGTCCAAACCGATATGGCTCATGACCTTACAGCTAATTTAGGGGCTCAGTAAAAGAAAGTGAAAGAAACATGGGGTGAGCACAGCAAGGTCAGCGAATTACTGGTGTGTGCAATAGTGCAGGCATAAGTTGTTTCCTACGCTTCTGACTTAGGAAAGTTAAAACTGAGGTTTGCAGTTAATCAATGGCATCTTGTTCTAACCACAGACATGCAGACTTCAGCTAGTCAGTTATGTGAATGACCTGAACCAGTACACTGGTTCAGTGTACACTCAGTGTGCATACAGTACATAGTTTCTTGGTTTCCAACACAGTTGTCCATCTGTTATGACAGCTATTGGTGCCTGCTCAGAATAAACTTGGGCTATTTGACTAGTGTACAGAGGCCAGAAAAAAAAAAAAAGGTTATGATGGACAGCCCGAAAAATATTGCAAGTGTAAAGTACCCCACGAGAAATCTCTCTTCTGGGCCAGTCTTGGCACTGGCAGAGCCTAGCTCTTTACGCACCTGCTGACACATAAGTGCCAAGATATGAATAGCTGAACAGCAGGAAAAATGGAAGCAAAGTATCCTCTTCTCTATAGGCTTCCTAGAAGTCATGCATTATCACAGTGGGTCTCTGAGAACCTGCTAAGACCAACTGGGACATAAAAACATCTCAGGCATATGAAGACCAAGACTGATAATGTTTTCCAAAGAAGTCCTACAGGAAGAAAAATCACCCAGAATTAGGTTGAACTTTATTACACTGAATACGACAAAGCTGGCATGCTTTGACCCGTGATTTTTGTGTGGAGCAGAATAAAACAATAGAGGTAAACATAAGAAAAGAAGGAACATGCCATCTGTCCCTTAACCAAAGTCAGCCAATGGATGGAAAAGGATCAGCCTAGCTGGTTGCAACCATCTGGAACTACAGACGGCAAATGCTGCTTAGCAAAGCACTATCACAGGGCAGACATAAGGTAAAGGAAGTGCGCAAAACCCAATGTGTTACAGAACTAACCTGTCCCAGGGGATGACCCGACATGAGATCAATGCAACACCCTGGGGAAGATTCCTTCCAGTGTTTAAATGGTTCACCTTACCTTTCCTTACAATTAGAGTTCATCTGGACAAAATGAACTATAAAAATGAACTTTTTGGATAAAAAAAAGTATAATGAGGACTTGCTACATAGTTACTTTGGCTGCTTCTGAATTTGTTTACTTCAATTAATGAGCAACTGTTGGTCTGGTACTTTTAAATAACCTTATACCGTGCTTACATTTTGCTACTGGCAGACTTTCATCTGGGCTGGGCTTTACTAAGATCACACACGATCATGCAGTGCCAGACTACGATTCAAGTGAGCTGCTTTTTTACACGGTCTATGTAAGGCTCAAACAAAACTGCACCTCTTACACTCATGCTGCCTTCCTTGTGGCACAATTCATCACTCTTGTGGAGACAGCCACAGTACTACCCTCACATGCCAGGCTGAACAGGCTGCTCACATGCAGATAAATTTCAGGGAGCCAAACATTTTATTTTCTTTTGTTCCCATGGCAAAATGGCACAAATGTCAGCCTTCCACTTCCTCTTCAGACAAACTCAAGGCATGGAATTCAAGGAAGAGAACAGGCACTAGCAATTGCTTTTACACTTCTTTGCACAGGAGCCTCCTACAATTGCCAGCTTTCCAAAGACAGCAATTACTTTGTTAAACATAAGGTTAAGCAACATATAAGTCCTTCATTAACCTATCTAGGGTCTCTAATGATTCTATTTGTCTCTAATGATTACCTATCTAGGGTCCTGGTCATTACAGACCAAATGGAACCTCAACTTTGCAAGTAGACCTTGGAAACCGAAACTATGGAATTACTCACTTATTACAGGCATCTGAAAGACTGCTAAACAAATACATAGCAGTAAAAATAAGGCTGAAAACAAAACACTGTCCTCCCACTTAAGGATATATTCCTTGAGTGTCTGTCCTCTGTCCCTGAAGCTTCAGAGGGCATGAGAAGAGCATGTGGCCCTGCCAAGGGAAAAACTTTACGGACAAGTTAGGAAACGGATGGTGATTCAAAAGAGAAATCATGTGGCTTGGCAAAACACTACAAATGGAAGCAAAGAGAAAGTAAGAAAGTAAAGCCAATGAAAAGAATTGTATAATTAGCACTTTTACGTGAGTCCAATCAAGAAATGTTATGCAAACGAAGAGTGAACCCAATGGAACTTTATTTTCCTACACTTTGTGTTTTTCTTTTTGGTTGGGCTGCACAGTTTGGTTCAGTCATTTCCTGGATGGCCTCATGACAAAGATAAAAACCCCTTATGACCTTGACACAATTTGTTCTAAATACACTTAAAGGTAAGCTTTCTGGCTGTCCCTCAACACACTTGTGGTTAACAGTGAGAGTAAATATATTGTTGGTGAGCTTTTTTGAGGGTTAAAGGCATTACATCTAGAAGAAAAGTATTGGTGAAGGCAGAAACCACAGTAAGCACAAATTGGCATGGTACTGGCTTTAGGTGGGATCTAGTGCTAGTACAGCAATATGCCAAATGGATTTGAAAGGAGTCAATGAAGGAAATCACAAGGAGTGAGAAATGAAAATCTGGGAAGACCCCTCTCACAGAATAGACTTCAGGAGACAATTGCACCACCACTCACTGATGTTACCATCACAAGTCACCTTGTCACAACAGATAAAGGTAAAATCCAGAACAGAGAGATTTTGGCATGGTTGAGTCAGTTCTGGAAACAAAAGTATGCTGTAGTCTAGTCAATTAATGGGGTAACTAGGAAACTGCAGCAAATGCCTAGACATCTTTTCTTGGCATGAGATCACAAATTAGCATTATTGATGATCTACAGAAGGGTGATCAGGTTTCCTTTCACCTGTACCAGTACAGAGAAACAGAAAATAAGAAAGTATGCCTGGCTTTCTCTCCTTTGTATCACAGGTTTATAAAAACATAAAAGTATAACATAAAAAATGAGGTAATTCTAGCCAGTAACTCAGACCCAAACAAAGCTATTAATGCTATATGATATAAAATGTCTGTGGTAGAGTTTGTAATTTTCTAGGCAGCAATCTCTCTTTTAACGTGCAATAATTTCAATTTTTGTTCTTCCACCTATTTCTATTAAACTGTCTTTAAAAACTAGAAATACCTGTTTTATCTCTTCTTACTCTTGTTTTATACAAATTACAAGAAACATATTGATAAAACCATGTACAGTTTACACAAAATAGTAATTAACCACAGAAAGTTGGCAACCTAGTGATCTCTGTCAAACAAACAGAAAAAAGGAAGGATAGTCTAAACCAGTGGTGTAGTCTCTGACTTTTAAGCATGTCTCACGTTTCTCTAGCAGTGTAAATTACTCCCAATATATATCTCCTTTACACGGATAAAGGGATGGCAAGTGTAAGTAATTAGAGATGAGAACTGGTGAGGAACTTCTAAAATGCCTATGCAAGCAATTTTCTTTTGTGGATGATTCCCAATCTCTTAGGCATTTGAATAGTATCATAGGTTTATAATGAACTAAAAAAGGGTTAGGAAGTGTTGCCCACAGACTTTCATGGTACAAGGCTTTGATTTCTGATTTCATTCTCTTAAGAGTCCTATTAAAAAGAGCAACAATAAGTAAACAGTAATCATTATGTCCTTAAAAGAGGTTCATGTTTATTTCTTAATGCTTCTGATCAAAACAGTAGGTTGGCAATTCAGCTTTATCTGAGCCCCTGAAGATATACAATGCATATCACAACACTGGAGAGATGTGATTTGCTGCACAGATTTTGCAAGATTTAATTTGTTTGCAAGATTTTATTTGTTGCAAAGCCACCCAAAGAGATTATTTACCCTTGGGCTGGTTCTTTTCCCTCCTCTGGAAGGTGGAAGGAGGTTGGTGGTCAGACTTCCCAGATGGTTTATATGTAATACTTTTTTAGGAAGTACTAAGAATGAAAAACTTTACTTTGTTACATTTCTTTTCACACTCCCTTGTTTGACTTGGGAGTGGAATCCCTTTTCTCATCTGTTTTTCAGAACAAGTCATCTCAAGGGCTTCAGTAAGCAGAAAATACAAGAAAAAATGTGGTGAATTGCTCTTGAAAAACTACAGTTAGTAGGCTTTAAAATATTCCTCAGTATTTGCACTATTCCCTAAACATGCCCCATGTAAAACCCTAAGCAATAAAAGTAATTTAGATGTTAAGGTAACTGACAAGTACTTAAGCATGACCACTGCTGTTACATTAGAACCCAACAAAGATTTTATTCACATCTGCCCAATTTTTATGTCTGAAGGTTCCCTTGTGTCACTACTGGGAACCACTGAGAAGGAGGTCTGCACTTCCTTCTAACAAGAATCTCCATCATATCAAAATTTCACTGGGTTTTTTCTTACACATAAATAGATCTTCAGACAACAAAGTCAGTGTTAGATATTTGCTACTTTAAGGCCTTGAACTCTTCCTACCCCTAATCCCACGGAAGCAAAGCCCCTGGTGACCAGCAGTGCCTCGGGCACTGGGCAGGCTTTGGCAAGTGAGTGGTGAGATCTCCTCTGCTGCTGGAGAGATCAGGTTTCAGGAAGGAGCTGAGACTAGTCTTAAGTTATGAAGTACTGCTGTGAGAACACATGCAGGATCACTCTTCAGGAGAAAAGACAACGCAGAAAGAATCGTGTCTTGCAGAATATACCACCTAAGGAGTCTTTCTGCTGTGCCTTTTGCAACCGGACCTGTCTATCTCGTATTGGCCTTTTTAGCCCTTCCCAAATCTTTGTTCGCAAAGCCTAGCCATGACCGCCGTTTGTCTCCCAGTACTCAGGAATAGAAATAACAATGAAAACAACCTTTTTAGGCTTGCTTTGTAAGAAGTAAAGTGAAATAATATGTGGTAATTAATTGCTCCCCTTCACCACAGAAAGGTCACATTTGGAAATGGAGAGCATCTGTCCAATGAGCATGGCCATACTATCTTCTGCATTTGTACATCCGTCTTTTACATACCTTCTGTATGGTTTTTTACATTACTGACAGAACCCTTTTTTTCCTACACCAGTTCTGTCAGTTCTGAATCCCCCATGGGTTTAACAGGGAGCAACCTGGACTTTTGCTTCCCTTCTTGCCCATGTCAAAATGGCTTACAGCCCAAACTCCCATCAGGTCATTATGGTGTAAAACATGCCACAGTCAGCACTTTCACTACTCCTGATGATGACATGTGGTGCAGAAAAAGTCTAAATTGAGTCTCAGGATGCTGCTGGGGCTATACAGATTTGAAATTACTTGTACAATCAAGTTCTTATTATAATAGAATTTTTTTAATGACCCAAAGATTATTCCAGCAACACAGTGTGTTACTTCCTCACACTTGTGCTTCCTTACACTTGTGAAAAACAAGACAGTAGTAAAATCAACTCTACCACTTTTCCCTTTCTGCATAGTCTTTTGCATAGAGGTGAGAAAGCCGTTCAGGCAGAAAACAATCAAAAGTAACATCGTTCACCAGTTTGCAAAGACATGCATAGACTAACACTGTACTTACCACTCCAACTGGGAAAGCTAGAACAGCCATCATCCAGTCACGGAGGGAAATGAGTTTTTTCAGCTGCCTCTCTTGTTCTTGACTGTCATTTCCTCTAGTGAGAAGACTGGACAAGTCGGTCAAGACACAAATCCCAAAGAAGACAGCCTGGATAACCTGCATGGAAGGGAAACACACTCTTGAACACAGAGAATATCAGATCTTTGGCAGAGAGCAGGTTGGGCACAGGCATGTATGAGGAATATTGCCACGGAATTGACATGGGGAGTGGGAATACATCAGTTCCTTAAATACGGGTAAAGTTAATTCACATAAAAGCCACGTGTGCTTCTAGACTCAAAGTCCTGCATGCATCTTGCTCCTCATCTGTGGGGGTAATCAATGTGAGTGGAAGAACCATTCCAGAGGTGGGACTTCCCACCCTCACCTCAGACATGTGCCACCCGCCGGGGACTGAACTGCAGCCACCCCTTCCTGCGTCACTCCATACAACTCATCCCCACAGTCACTGCATTTGCCTCTGAGGCGGAAAAAGTAAGGAATGCTCCCTGTAAAAAGAAAGGAAAGAAAAGAGATGAGCATTTCTTTCCCTTGTGAAAGGTCTCACTTGGAGATTCTGCCTGCCCCAGACACTCCACTCAGAGGTGAAGGAGGTGCCTGAGACTTCCCAAGAGACAGAGCACATGGCCTGAGCTTCAGCAAATCTATCTCTAGTTCCTCTCAGATAGTGAATGACAGAATAAGAAAGCTTCAGGAGTTATTCACTTTCCTTTCCTGATGGCAGACTGTTATTTACCTGCCTTTTCCTTTTTTGCATTTACGTATTTGTGCGCAATATCATAAGATTATGTGTGATATTAAATTGTTAGTTTAATCACCTGAACCCACTGATTTAGTTCAAACTTGACTCAATCTTAGTTTGATCACTGCATTTTTCTTCCTTAATTAACTTAGTAAAATTTTAATAAGTTAGCTCAGGAATGCTCTTGCCTGAGGACCCACATATCCTTTCTAGTACAGTTCAGAGGAAGTGCACACAGTTTGTTTACTCCCCAAGCTGGAAGCCTGGGTCACAAACCACACACATCAGGTAATCTCAGGTAAAGAATTTAACAAAACATGGGCCTGGTTCCCAAATTACACAGTGATTAATCAAAAAACATAAACATATGCTTAAAATACATACTGCATGTTTTTCAAAGCAAGTACGGAGTACTAGTTTAGAGGTTTTATTTGTAAATCTAAGTGTTCCCCGACTAGGAGAATCTGACCAAGTAGCAGACCATCCTTAAGAAATAAGAATGGTACATTCCCAGATTCTGCAAAATAGAATTTATTATATGCATATATCTTTGCAGAATTTACACTATAATAAGGCAAGCAGGAGGACAGAAGAAATACCAAACAGATGTTGGCTACTAGAAAGAAATACAGAGATGCGTAATGATTGGATGGATTAAAGTACATTTCCTTCCTCAGCAATCCTTATATGACCCAAATACTTGTACATTCTGGCTGTAAAGCCATGAACGACAGACATTCAAGTGGCTCCTGGATCTTCTTGCAATTCTGCTACCATTGCTCTCCTCTCTCCACGCTCTAGCTACATATAATTTGCTTGATAAATAGATGAACCAACATTACAAAACGTTCCCTGAAGCCATGAAACGTGACAGACTACTAGCGCTAGAGCTGTATATTGTGCTAGAAAAAGGTATTACTATTTCAAATGACTTCCTGGAAAAGTTACCATCTTCTACCTAATTTCTGAAAAGCCTTTTAAATATAAGTTCTTGGAGCTACGTAAGAACTCCTAATGCACTTTTTCATATTATTTGTTTGAAAAAAGCACTTAGAAGAAAAAAATCTTCCCATACTCAGCCCTGTTTTCCACCAAACAGATGGCCTATTTGGAGAGCAGAAATAGAAGAATTAATTATGCATTTGCTTGACTTATGAGGAGATATGATACCATCTACTATTCACTCAAGAGTGTGAACGTCAAAGACGACAGAACTGGGAAAAAGAGTATACCTAACAGTAATGAGATCAATTTGAGTGTTAAAAAGTTTAGGCTGAGTACCAGGAAATATTTCCTAACAGTGAGGTCTGTCAGACCATGAAATGGTTTCTCAGAGGAAGTGGTGGAAGCCTCATGGCTTGAGTCACTCAAACCAATATTGGACAAAACACTCAATAATGTACTACAGAGAACAGTATTATGCTGGCAGAGCTGGATGAGTGACTAATGGATTGTTTGCAGCTCTAACTACAATTCCCTGAAATGGTCCCTCTCGAAAGAAGCACAGACTCAAACAATCACACGCCCACTTTCCAAGGGAATTGAGATTGTACATCCACTAATCAATCACAAACTGAACAGCTTCTCTCCCCAGCATCCCGTTATGAACACAGAGCTTCAAGGGAAAATATAATGATATCATGGGGAATAACTGAAAACTCCTAAAGGGAACGAAAGTATCCGAAGACTTCAGAGAGTAGATATGAAGTAAAGTATTCTACAAAAAAATTAATAAATGAAAATCCATATAGGAGAAAACTGCATCTTTATTGAGAACATTTAGAGACAATGACAAAATTGTACAGTGTTCAGGGAGGAACAGTTCCAGCTTCTTCATACAAATAACGTACATACATTCACTCTAGTACTTCCTTTCCTTTCTAGAATGTGCAAGAAAACTCTTCTGACACCTTCCAAACATCTAGGGTTAAAATGGGGACCTCGAGAACTACATGAGTCTCAGCAGCATTAACTAAACAGTCGGAGTCTGTAACAATTTATATCCTTTGTAGGTCTGGCACAGGAAAAGCATAGCTTGCAGCTACTAGTGGTTTATGGTATGAAATGAATTTTTAAAGTCCATGCTCCTTGGTGTGAATGCTGCCCAACAGATGCGAAAAGTTCACAGCAAGGGAGTGAAAACTACCTCCAAACAATGTTCTCCAAGGTGCCCTGGTGTTACCTCAGATTTAGGATTACATTTTCAAAACAGGGGGCTTATTTTGAAATAAGCAGGTGATGAACCTATATATGAAACATCCTCAAGTTGTTAAACAGCTGACTTGTTTTTCCCCTTGGAAATGTAAGCAAGAACAGCATTTCAGAGGAAATACCTTTCAGTTTTTCCTCTAACTACAGCTCGAAGGAAAACTGCAATTTAGAAAATGACAAATTTGACAGAAAACAGACACACCTTACTTATACCACGTAACACTGATAGAAGCAGAAACTTCTAAGCAGAATATGCAAACCCAAGAAAATAAGTGAATAGGTATAAAATACTAACTTATTGCTGACCCCATTTTCTCCACCGAAGCCTACAGGAGCCACTGCCACTATAGTTGATACTACAGTCCCTTTAAACTGATAATGTAATGGGACAGTGTAATGACAATGGTCACTTAAAGATATGTTAGTAAAAACTCAGAGCAGAGAAAACACTTGTTAAGTTGCTGCAGGAGAAAAAAAGTTATGAACAGAAGATGAAACCAAGCAGCCCAGAAACCTTCTCAAACAGTGAGATCTATTCAGATTATAAAGCAGAAAAGATAGTTCCCTACAAACGAACAGAATAAATTAATTTTACATGTCTGTTTACTACAAGAAAATAAAGTCTTGCTTCAGCAGGACAGTTTTTTCACAAGGTGTTCACTGCAGGACTGCAGCTAATGACCTCCTCATACTCCCCCTAATTTGACTTTAGTCCAACAGAAAACCTATTTCCTCATAAACCTTTTTTCAGGGCATGGAGATTCCCTTCTCCCCCATGTCACGGGGCTCCACGGTGCAGACAAAATCTCTGCAAACTGAGGTCATGCAAATTCTGTTACTACTCTTACCAAGACAGAAAACTCCCCATTAAATTCACTGAATCTAGGATTTCAGTGTTGATGGACTCATCCTCATCCAAGTTCACTCTTATAATCAGAAGGACTCCTTAAAGCTCAGGGTAGAAGAACTGGAAAAGTCTCTGCAAGCACTACTACTTTTATGGGTAATTTTTCCTCTACCTACCTGTGAAAGTGAAAAATTCATTCTCCTTAAGCTGTCATTTTCAAGATTAACAGCACTTACTTCATGTACCCCTCTATGAAATAAGACATCAGTGTAGGTTGGCAAACAGATAGCGCTGACAGAATAAAACATGGGAGTGACGCTCATGAAATCCGCAAGAAATAACAAAAAAGCACTAAGTAACTTTTATATACTCCAAAATGCACATGAAGTGCATGCATGTGTGTGTGTGTGTGTGCGCGTGTGTGTGTCCTCACGCACCTGTAAAAGATACCTGTACAAGATACCTGTACCTCACTTACCAGGTAAGCTTCCACTGCTAAATATAAGATTGCATTTAAAAAAGGGACTTAGGAGTATGAAAACATAACCCATATTATAAGATGACCAATTCACAGAAGGGTGTCAGGGAGGCCTGACTGATCCTTGGGAGATGAGAGTGGCAGGGGGCAGTCAGGGCCCATCCCAGTCCCAGCCAGAGCAGAGCAGCCAGTGGTTGCCCCAGCCCTGGGGTAATCAGGGATCTCCCTGGGGACAGGCCACCAGCTCACAGGTGGGGGGCAGACATAACTTGAACCATCAAAACAACATTCAGGCTTAAAACCACCTTGTGGCTTTCCACAAGGTGATGAAAGCTTAGCTTTACCAGCATGCAAAATCAAATTGCAGAAAGTTGTCATTTCTTACATATTTCAGATTTTACAATCTGCATATACAGAACATGGTCTGATTTTCCTCTTCAAACAATGGAAAATTATTTACAACCTCAAAGTATTTATTACTGTTCATTGTCACTTGCGTTACTTTAGCTTTCATTTCTCCACCCTCTAGATATCATTACTTGACATACAAATGAACTATGTTTCAGCAATTAAGATAACTGTATTTTAAGAGACTCTGAAGTAATTTAAGTCAGGTTTTTTGCACACTGTAAACACAACTGACTGGACTCTCTTTCGGGACTATGCTTGGTTTGAGTTGTTGTGTATCGGGCTGTACACAGGCGCGTGTGGAAACCCTGCACCCTGTCAGCTCATTTACCTGCAGTTGCAATTTACAGAGCAAGTCCAGGTTAGGGAGAGAATAGTAAGGTATTTTTGACAGAAAAGGCACTGTGCTTACAGATCAAAGCCATTAGGTTGTAGCTGCTTAGTAAATATGTTACTGTTCTCGACTGCACAGAGCTACCGATTCTTCTTGTCCATCACCATTCCATCATTACTCACACTGCGTTTATTTTTGTCGCTTCTCCTCACCTTGCTGCATCTTTGTTAGTTATAATAACAAGCAGAAGCTGGACAATACGTAATCAAGTGCTAAACCTTTGTATCAGAGAAGCTACAGACTTCAGATAAGAAAAAGACAAATCTTTGTGTCTACAGACAAATGAAAGAGAGGCATAAAGAAATAAACGC